TGTATTTACTTGATAAAAGTTGGTCATAGCATTTTACATCATTTTAGGGACATAAATATTTATTTAGGGAATGATAAACAATATAAAGTATATTTAAATTTTTCTTATGAACTTGTTATGATTTATTTTTTGTTAAGGAAAAATTTGTGTTGTCAATAAAAAATGATTAAAATACAAGTAGTTTTGTGCTTGGGTATATCATGATATCAAAAAGCAATCGGGAGTGAAGCAATTAATCGTACTTGCGGTATATAAATTATCTTATTTGGTATTTTTATTTGCTTAAGAATTGTGTCAATTTCTGGAGTGTATCGTCAAAAAAAGACGTATAATTCGTGTTTATCGTCGTTAGGGTGTTTTGCTAGTATACTAATATGATCTTTTTCAGTGTTAGTGATTTACCATATGATGTTAGAGACTTTATTTCCTAATTTGAGTTTTAAATTTATTGTACTGACGTCAATTTTAAAATTTGTTGACATTAATTTTTACGATGTTTGTTTTCTTTTTCTTGAGCTAAGTTGTACTATTTGATTAGTATGTTTTAGAGTAATGAAAACCTCTTAGGAATTTTTGAATATTAACAAAGGTTATTAATAATAAGATAAGGAAATAAAAATTTTCTTTGGAAAAAAAAAATTTTTCTAAATTTTTTTCTAAGTTTTTCAAGTTTTTTATTTGCTGATTCCTTAACTGAAACCTAAAACTTTGTTCAAGTGAAGTTTTGTTGATGCTATGGTATGGTTAACAGTATAACTATATGCCTTTATTGGTTATTATTGGTTCAAAACTTATTTTTTTTGTTAAAAATTTTTAGAAAATTTTTTGACTGAAACGATAATCTGAAACCTGAAACTATGGTAGCTGAAGTTGAGATTTTTTTAATCTTAAAATTTTCTATACGCTTTATTATATCTGGTTTTCGCTTTATCTTGCAAAAAAATTCGAGAAAACCGAATCTTTTGATATCTTAAACTCTCTCAAACTCGGTGCATGAAAATAAAAAGTTGGTTTTTGATAGCTGGTCTAGTGTAAATTGGAATTTTGAACAGGTTTGTAGCTTCAAAATCAAAAATTTGTTTGCGGAAACCTAAGTTTTTGGGGCTGAAACTATGATTTCTAGAACTGAAACTATGGTTTGACCACTTGGTTTTAGAGTTTTGAGATTGAAAATTTAGGTTGGTCTCTCTGATATATTTCTATTCCAGCAATAAAATTGCCAAAAAGATGAAAATTTTAGCCTAAAACGAGGATTTTAGTTTTCTGAAACTATGAGTTTGAGGGCTCAAACTAACACCTTCTAGAAGTTTTTTGAGTTTAAAAATTTGTTAGTGCATTAAGGATTCCTATTATCTTTCAATATTTCACAAAAATTTCACTTGGGAAGCAAGATTTTTGGTTCTGAAACCAAAAACACCAATTCTGAAACGTACGTTTCAGCCTTAGGAACCAAAATTTAAAATTGGTTTGGTGGGTTTTAACACCGTTAGTTTTCTCTAGAAAGTCAAAATTCGGCGTTCGGAGCTCAATTTTGAGACCAAAAACTCAATTTTTGTGTTCTGAAACCTGAAACTAACAAAAACGTACCATTTAAGACCAGGTTTTTGACTTATGGTATCCAAATTTGGGTTTGACTAGTTCAACTTTTGCTGTTTTACCCGAATCCGTTTACAGAAACTTGAAATTTTGACCGGAAACTATACTTATTTTAACTGAAACGTTTGACCCTATAACTGAAACCTAGACTGAAACCAAAAATTTTGGCTGGTAAAAATCAATTTTTTATTTCTTATGCTATCATATGAAACCTATTTTATCAATATAAAGTGGATGTGTCAGTGTTTTAAACTTAGTTTTTGTTGTAAAACCTGATATTTTTGTGCTGAAACTAAAACTTGGTGTTTGGTGTTATGTGGTTAACGTTTAAGATTGGTTTTAGTGCGTAATCTTATTGTTTATTAGGTGTATATTTAAACTGTGTTAAAAAAAATTAATGATTTATTAAAAAACACTCAAATCCGTTCCTTCATTTTTGGTTTTTGTTATTTTCTTCCTTAGTTTCAGTAATTGGTAGCTTTACTGATGGATGATTTAGGTTTAAATTACGTTAAGGTGGATAGAATTAAAATGAGTTTAAGAAAAGTTGAGGATAAGCCTCGAGAATTGATGAAGGATTAGAATAAATAGCAACAAGCGTGGATGGTTTGAGATAATGTGATGAAGAATTCAATTTATCATACAATTTAGGGTACTCTTAGATCGCACATATGACCACTTAACCCCCTCGAAAAAATAATTGAAGATATTTAATAAGTTTTTGAGCACTTAAGTTTAATACAGAATTTCGTTAATTTTAGTGATGATAACTTTAAACTGAAGTTTTGGCATGTAATTAGTGGATTACTGGACAAAACGGGTATATCTTACTAGCGGACTTAGGCAGAGAACGATTCTTTCAGAAATTTTATATATTATTATAATAATAGATAATAGTTAAGTTCATGAGCTAATGTCAGTTAGAAAGCCGTCTAATAGACCTCGAGATGGAGGGATATCGTGGGCGACTGCTAGCGCAAGGGATGCTTTCGCAAGAACCCTACTAGGAATATCTGTCAAGTAGAAGACAATGAAATTGTGTTTCTATCGAAAGATACCCATTGTCTCTGGCTTTTTGAGGTTGAAAACTAATCTGACAAATACTCACAGATCCTAAGAATAATATATTTTTATAATTTTAAAAGCTGTTTCTAGTTTGTTGGAAAAAGAATTTCTTAAGGAGTAGTTCTCTGCTGCGGTCGCACCAGTTTTACTAAGCGCTCATTGCTGGTTGAATGCTTAGTAATTTTATCCTAAGTTATAAGTCTCACCTTAGATCGTCAAGTTGTCTTGACAAAAGTTAGAGTAGAAACAATAGTTAGAAAAGGTATGAATTAATTAGTTGGTTAGATACAAAGCACTGGGTTATTAGATTATATAAATGAATCGAACAGCTTAAAGAAATATACCTATGAGGGGAGGTTGAGCTAATCTTATTTTGTTCATCAAAATTTTATCTTCTTACTAAGGTCGGTGCCTGATTAGTATGTATGGTTGCCCTTGATTTTGTCCAAGTCAGCACTTCTGGTTGGGTCGTCTGAATCGTCTTGCCGTAGTCCTTAGGGTACTTGTAGTCCAGACTTCCTCAGGTGTGGGTCTCTCGAGTATCTCGATTTATAATTTTATCGAACTTTAAATGAGAATTTATTCTCTATTTTATTTGTGAAAAAGGCTAGTTTAATTTTATTGTAAAGGCAGAAAAGAAAAATTATTTATTTTGAAAAGATCTGACTGAAGAGATCTGACTTGCTGCTTACTGAGCAAAATGAAACACTGAAGATTTCAGGCCAGTCCTTTTGCTCGTAAGCATAAACCGGCGGCTGATTCAATCTTTAATTATTCAGATTTCACCTGCTCCTTTGTTCTCCCTTTTTAATAAGGGAATTTTCAACTAGTTTTTATTTGATTTTTTCAAATCAAATATCTTAACTTATTAGTCCCCTTTGATGAAAACCGCAGCCTTCAGTTTGTCTTATTAAAAATTCATATTACTCTCTCTGATGCATCATATTGCAGGTGCACCTCTGCTTAATCAAAGCAAGGAGAATTTCAGTGCAGCCGGCGAGACTGCTAAATATTTATCCAGTTTGTTTCAAGTTAAGTTAAAAGGGACGTATTAATAATCGCCGCCCTTTTAAAATATTGAGCATGAAAAAATGAGAAAAATTGGACAAGTATTTAAAAAGGAGTGGATTTTCAAAACAAGATTTTATAGTCCTAAAAAGAGTAAATCAGTCAATATCTGATTTAGTGAAAAGAGGCTTTAATTTAAATGGCACGCTCCAATATAGAATTGGGTCGTTAAATAAACAATTAAGACAATGGTCTTTTGTGTATGTGTAGTATTTCGCAATACTACAGAGTCGTGCACGGAATTAATATGACCAATTAGCTTACCTCAATTTAATTTAGAACTTGTTTGAGAAAATAGGCCGAAAAAGCTGATTAGGCCATAATTCACAACTGTCCCCAAAAAATGCTTTTTTTTCGGCAAGTTTCCTTGCAGGTCTTCGATTTTCTCGAAGAAGGGAGGATTTTCAAATTGGTTTCTCCCAAATCTTTATAAAGACCCTCTAAAAAGCCTTTAAAAAGTTTTAGAGTCAGTCAGCCAAAAATGGATATCTCACAATAGTACAAAGGTTGGGTCAGTCAGCCAAAAATGGATGTCTCACAATAGTACAAAGGTGGGGCAGGAGGGCTTTGCGTCGACAGGGGGGTCGAATCTCTAAGATGGGAAGGGGGTGTCCGCGCCCCATCACCGGTCTTCCCCTGAATATGCTGCTGCCTGCTTTCATATTTCTGGCTAATTGCATGGTTTTTCACTGTAAAGAATGAACAATTGTGTTGAGAATTGACAAAACATTATGACAACGTTAAATCACTTTTCGAATCTTGAAATTTAAAGTGTCAGAGGTGTATAGAAAACAGAGGTGTCAGAGGTGTATAGCCTTCATGGGTAAAGGATATAACCATCGAAGCATATATCATAATAGCTTTTCGTGTAACCGTTTCGTCCTTAAACATTTCGGATGTCAAATTGTTCTTTAAATTCGAGTGAAAAGTACAGGTTTGAATCAGCTATTCGTAACGTATCAATTTCTTTAGCCACTCCTTCAAAATACTTGGGTACAACCCACAACTGATTTGCGTGTTGATTAGCTGAAAGATAGAGAGCATAGCATAATGACTGGATGGCTCCTACCTTTATAAAAGCAAGCAATTTCAATTTCACTCTCCGAGATCTAATATCTTAGCAATTTTAAACTATTACTTTTAGCGTCCTTTCTATTTTTTTTACTTGCGATCAGCTCAGTGTTATATTACGAACCTACTTTTTTTTCTAACCTAATAGCAAATAAAAGTGTTCAATAAAAGTGTTCACATATTTGGAAATTTTATTGTAGCATTGCAAATTGCATAGCATCTGTTCTCTGCTTTGTTTGTGGCTAGTGTTTGGTGCCTATTTTCCGTGGCTACGTGACCGTGAGGCGACAATTCGTCGCAAGCGACGATTGGTCGCTAGCGACTATTCGCAGCATTTTTAAAAGGCGACAACTCGCACCAAGCGTCAATTCGTAGCAAGCGACAATTAGCAGCACGATTTATTGCCAATTAGGGGATTACCAAACTATGCGAGTTGAGCAACATGTTTTGCGGTGTTTGTGGGGGATCAAAATTCAACGGGCGATCAGACTTTTCAATTTAGCACCGGTTTTGAATTAAATACCAAATTGAAATGAATTAGCAGTAAAGATAGAGTAATTAAACGTTAGTAGCATCTAAAACACATTTGTTTCGATTCATTCGTTTCAAGTTCTTCTTGCAAATCATTACACTTTTTGATACCAATATGCCTATAAATTTTGTCATGAGCGCGAGCGAGGAAAACAGCAACTTGTCCACGATGGAGAAACTCTCAACTTAAATCGCCTTAACAGAATAACTGACAAATCCAGCTGGTGATGTGTCAAGAAACCGTTGCCGCCATCGAAGATGAAATAGTCAGCACATCTGAAAAACATGGTCACGAAAACATTCCAAAACTTTGACACGTGCGCGAACTTCAACTTTCAAAATTAAGAATTTTCCAATTTTTTTTTGAAAACATTAAAATAGCATGAATGCAAGGCGTGCGTTTCTGTGGGGGAAAACTGGCCACACCCATTGGAAAAATATATGTATATATATAATCGCTCAAACAGGCTAATTTTTTGAACACTGGGGGTATTTTTTTTGGGGGGGGGAGTCAAAAATGGGGGGGGGGGGTCAGAAACTCTGGGTATATTTGCCTCGAAATGGTTGTTAACTTACTTACGTACAAGTCACTCGCCAGAACTGTTCATCGACAACGAGTAACTTATTCCGGCCCCACTCAATCAAAGATATTGCAGTGCCTTTGAGTTGAGCAGGACCCTGAGGGGAGATAATTTCCTGCTTTTTGATTCGGGGGTCGGATGACAAAGACCGAATGTTAATATTTGCCACCGACGAGAACTTAGAAACTTTGGAAAGCAACACAGTCTGGCATTTAAAGCATGCCCCGAGTTATTTTACCAAAGTTTTGCAATTCATGCTATGGCTAATGATCACACTGTTCCATTAGTTTTTTTCTTCTTCAAAACAAAAGCGAAGAGCAATACATTTTGGTCTTCAGACAATTGAAAGTAATGAACCCAGGATTTGAGCCCTCACAGATTGTGGTAGACTTTGAGAAGGCTTCAGTTAACGCTTTTGAGAAGGTATTCAATGGAGTGACTATAAAAGGATGCCTTTCATTTCGCTCAGGCCAATTGGCGCAAAATTCAAGAGATTGGATTGGCACCAGTGTATCGAGAAGATAAAAAAAACACGCATGCTTCTAAAGTCATTCGTTGCTTTGGCACTGATGCCTGAGCTCGACTTTGAAATCGGCATGACTGCTTTGTGCTCTGAACTTTCTGACCAAAGCGACGAGTCCCCCTTATTTGATTACGCCGATTATTTCGAATCAACTTAAGTTGGAACTATCCTCCGAGGACGCAGAGGGGTTGCGCACTTCCCTATTTCACTCCTAAACCAGTTCGAGAACGCAAAAAATGAATGCAGAGAACCTATAATTCGGTGGAGGGATGGCATAGGGCCTTCCAGATGGGGATGTTGTGTGCTCACCCCGCAAGTTTATCCAGTTCCTGTGATAAGAACAAATTCCGTCGGACAATAAATTTAAAAGAAAAATTGCCCGAGAAAGAGCCGCCAAGATGGCAAAGTACGAAAAAAGTCAAGCCAGGTTAGTTGAACTCCTTAAACATTCTACTAACAATAATATTCTCAAGCAACTTGAGGGCCTCTCATCCAATTTTGATTTATAGTTTCTTTGTTCTGTAATTTAACCCTTTCCTGCATGACTAGTGTGTGAGATTCTAAATCTTTAGATCGCAGGTTTGAATCACAGAAGTAGCCGAATTTTTACCAATTCGAGGCTTATCGTGTTTTCGTAAGCCTGTGTTAAATTCGTTTTTAACTCAAATAAAAAGAAACCAACTGCAAAATCGAGCAAAGTTTTGCTATTTGAAGCCTGGAGATAGTGCGAAACTGTAAAGGTAACGAAAATCGCAATCGACTTCTAATCTTGAAAATAGATTTTAATTATTAGATTTTCAGGCGAAACAATAAATTCAACTATTGATCCAGTTTTCTCTAAGTTGTTCTAGAGCTTCAAGGCCATCTATTTTTTCTTGGAAATTCGAAAAACAGTTGGTTATTATTCTGTTTCCTTGCGTTCATTGACTGTTTTCCAATTGTCTGTTGGCTATGTAAATTTTGGGTTCAAAAGTTCTCGTTTTAACTATTCTTCGAAAAACTCATTTTGAAGTGAACCATGGAAATTTGTGGATTTGTTTAGGATAATTATCCTGACGTTGGAAGCTTCACCGTGAATGCATCTTCAGCAGGAAAATATCCATCGCGGAGTTTTATGAAAGGAATCCCGCAGCAGTACCTAGATTCGATCCACACTATATTTCTCACTAATATTCTTTCTCTTGGACATATGTTCCCACGATATCTTTCCCTACAGACTGTAAACACTTCATTTTGATTCTGAAATAAATCATTGTTTAATGAAAGCAAAATTAGTTTTTGGCGTTTAGCGAGTTTTATGAGAAGAGCTTGGAGTATGATCAGCTGTAGAAAAGTTTGAAAGACTAGCTTTAAAAAAAATTGACGCTCACGTCTACGCTTTCCATTAAAATAAATAAGACTGAAACTTCGAAATGAATTTTCACAAATTAAGTTCGTGTGGGAGTTAAAATGAACATAGCGAAGTCAATTTCATTTTAGTTATCATATTCTTTGAATTCTTATCTTTGACTTTTAATATGTTACTTAAATAGCCAATGACTCTTATATAGGTTGTGATGATGTTTTGTCCAGAAAAAGTCTGCCCTTGCAATAACCAGGGTATTGCGACCGTGTACTGAACTTGTTCCCGTGAGCAAATTTGTTCACAGGACGACTAAAATTGTTGGTCAATTTTATTTTAGTCATGGTATTCTGTTAATTCTTATCTTTGACCTTTAATATGTTGTTACTTTAATAGCCAATGACTCTTATATAGGTCGTAATGATGCTTTGTCCAGAAAAGTCTACCCTTGCAATAACCAGGGTATTGCGACCGTGTACTGAACTTGTTCCCGTGAGCAATATTGTTCACAGGACGACTGAAATTGTTGGTCAAATTCATTTTAGTTATAGTATTCTTTTAATTCTCATCTTTGACTTTTAATATGTTGTTTTTTTAATAGCCAATGACTCTTATATGGGTCGTGATGATTTTTTTGTCCAGAAAAAGTCTACCCTTGCAATAACCAGGGTATTGCGACCGTGTACTGAACTTGCTCTTGTGAGCAAATTTGTTCACAGGACGACGATTGAAATTGTTGGTCAATTTCATTTTAGTTATGGTATTCTGTTAATTCTTCTCTTTGAATTTTAATATGTTGTTACTTTAAATGCCAATGACTCGTATATATGTCGTGATGATGTTTTTTTAATATGTTGTTACTTTAAATGCCAATGACTCCTATATATGTCGTGATGATGTTTTGTCCAGAAAAAGTCTATACTTGCAAAAAGCAGGGTATTGCGACCGTGTTTTGAACTTGTTCCAGTGAACAAATTTGTTCACAGGACGAATGAAATTGTTGGTCAGTTTCAGTTTTTGTTATGATATCCATTTATATCTTATCTTCGACATTAAATATAATGTTACTTTAATAGCCAATGACTCTTTAATAGGTCGTGATGATGTTTTCTCCAGAAGAAGTCGACCCTTGTAATAACCAAGGTATTGCGATCCTGTACTGAACTTGTTCCCGTGAGCAAATTTGTTCACAGGACGACTAAAATTGTTGATCAATTCCATTTAAGTTATGGTATTCTGTTAATTGTTGTCTTTGACTTTTAATATGTTTACTTTAAATGCCAATGACTCGTATATATGTCGTGATGATGTTTTTTTAATATGTTGTTACTTTAAATGCCAATGACTCTTATATATGTCATGATGATGTTTTGTCCAGAAAAAGTCTATACTTGCAAAAACCAGGGTATTCCGACCGTGTTTTGAACTTTTTCCAGTGAAAAAATTTGTTCACAGGACGACTGAAATTGTTGGTCAATTTCAGTTTTTGTTATGATATCCATTTATATCTTATTTTCGACATTAAATATAATGTTACTTTAATAGCCAATGACTCTTTAATAGGTCGTGATGATGTTTTGTCCAGAAAAAATCGACCCTTGCAATAACCAGGGTATTGCGACCGTGTACTGAAATTATTCACGTGAGCAAATTTGTTCACAGGACGACTGAAATTGCTGATCAATTCCATTAAAGTTTTGGTATTCTGTTAAGTGTTATCGTTGACTTTAAATATGTTGTTACTTTAAATGCCAATGACCCCTATATATGTCGCGATGATGTTTTGTCCAGAAAAAATCTACCCTTGCAAAAACTAGGGTTTTGCGACCGTGTACTGAACTTGTTCCCTTGAGCAAATTTGTTCACAGGACGACTGAAATTGATGGTCATTTTCAGTTTTTGTTATGGTATTTGTTTATTTTTTATCTTTGGCATTAAATACAATGTTACTTTAATAGCCAATGACTCTTTAATAGGTCGTGATGATGTTTTTTCCAGAAGAAGTTGACCCGTGCAATAACCAGGGTATTGCGACCGTGTACTGATCTTGTTCCCTTGAGCAAACTTGTTCACATGACGAATGAAATTGTTGGTCAATTTCAGTTTTTTGTTATGGTATTTGTTTATATCTTATCTTTGACATTAAATATAATGTTACTTCAATAGACAATGACTCTTAAATAGGTTGTGATGATGTTTTGTCCAGAAAAATTCTACCCTCTCAATAACCAGGGTTTTGTGACCGTTTACTGAAGCTGTTCCCGTGAGCAAGTTTGTTCACAGGACAACTGGAATTGTTGTCAATTTCAGTTTAAGTGATGATATTCTGTTAATTGTTGTCTTTGACTTCTAATATGTTTACTTTAAATGCCAATGACTCGTATGTATATATGTCGTGATGATGTTTTTTTAATATGTTGTTATTTTAAATGGCAATGACTCGTATATATGTCGTGATGATGTTTTGTCAAGAAAAAGTCTATACTTGCAAAAACCAGGGTATTGCGACCGTGTTTTGAACTTGTTCCAGTGAACAAATTTGTTCACAGGATGACTGAAATTGTTGGTCGATTTCAGTTTTTGTTATGATATCCATTTATATCTTATCTTCGACATTAAATATAATGTTACTTTAATAGCCAATGACTCTTTAATAGGTCGTGATGATGTTTTGTCCAGAAAAAATCGACCCTTGCAATAACCAGGGTATTCCGACCGTGTACTGAAATTGTTCCCGTGAGCAAACTTGTTCACAGGACGACTGAAATTGTTGATCAATTCCATTTAAGTTTTGGTATTCTGTTAATTGTTGTCTTTGACTTCTTATATGTTTACTTTAAATGCCAATGACTCGTATATATGTCGTGATGATGTTTTTTTTAAATATGTTGTTACTTTAAATGCCAATGACTCGTATATATGTCGTGATGATGTTTTGTCCAGAAAAAGTCTATACTTGCAAAAACCAGGGTATTGCGACCGTGTTTGAACTTGTTCCAGTGAACAAATTTGTTCAC